GCTCGCTCCTTTCTTAATATATTATTAATACTATAATATAATACAGTCCTACTCAGAATTGTGAGATTAATATCTAAAACTACTCTTTCATATCAACAGAGAAATGGTCATTTCAAATGCCTCCCGTCCCCTAGGGTCGCATATATATTGAAAGTTTGAGTCAATTTGATTTCCCAATCGTCAATAAATAATGGTTACAGATTTTTGTACAAACGTTTCAATATTTTTTCTTTATAAAATGTATGCAATCAATCAACCTTTACAATTTAACAAAAAAAAGACAAGGACTACGATACTGAAGCATACATGAATTAATTAAAGTGCATGACATGACGTGTACTAAAGTTTTTATTGATTAAGTGATTTAAAACACGATGAATTCTAAAGCATTGTATATGTATAATTGTCACTGAATTTCGTATTCATTGTACAATTATCTATATATTTATTCATATATAGGTGGAGTTGCTCTGAATTGTATCAATTTTTTATTTTATGCAGCAGCAAGAAAACAAAGAACCTTTATAAAATATAGATTTACAGAGAAAGATTAATTTTACTTCGACGTGCCAGATTAACCGTTCGGATAATTTTGGTGCGAGTTGACGTAGGGTAACCCTGACTTACAGGCAAAGTGATCAGAGTGATTGCACGGAGAGTTAAAATTTATATAATACAAGAACTGTTAAATTATTTCGTTTAATAATTTAAACAAAATGTTGGACACAGTATATCTGTAGAGAAAAGTACACTTATGTTTACATGAAAAACCTTTGATAGACAATACGGTAGTGTTTAAAAACTATTTTACTAAAAACAATACATATAGATTAGACTATATAGACCAATAGACTAGAATTAGATATAGTAGGCATTAGTGAAGTCAGGCCAGAAGCTGGAGACTTTTGGAGACTTTCAAATAATACATACAGGATAGGTGGAAGGTAATTCGAGGAATTGTAATGTGTAAAAAAGTAGGGCAGAGTGTAGAAAGTTATTTACAAAAAAGCGATAGGATAGTTATGGTTAAATTAAACTCGAAGCCGGTAAAAACGGTAATATTGTAGATCTACATGCCTACATCATCTTAAAATGATGAAGACGTGCATTTAAAACAATAATTAGCTTAACTTTTCATGCATCAAAAATTATCACGGGAGGCCATTCTAGCTTTACGGGTAACAATAGAGAAAACGATAAAAAAATACCTTTTGACAATGTTAAATGGGAGAAGATGTCAAACATACTTAAAAATGTAGGGATGAGTTACATATATAGAAGATTGATACTTAGTTTGTATAAACAGCAACAGGCAGTTATGGAGCTGAAACAACAACGTAGAAAAGTAATTAAGTAAATATTAGGAAGGGATTCAGACAAGGATCCACGCTGTCACAGTTTTTTAATCTATACATCGAAGACGCGATCAACATCAACATCAAGACAGTATAACTGTAGGAATAGATATACAGGGGCAAAAGGTTAGCATGCTTAAATTTGCAGATGATATAGCAGTATTAGCATCTAGCAAGGAGGAGATAGCTTTAAATAAAATGGAAGCGGTACTGACAAAACAGTATTGTATGAAAATAAATAAAAGTAAAACAAAAATGCTGGTATGCAAGGGAAGAAAGCGGATATAAAGTCGGATAAGTCAGGACGGAAGGAGTATTAGCCATATAAAGCAGAGGATAACGCAGGGTCGAATCGCCTTCAATAAAAAGAAGTAAATTCTATGCTCGCGAACGATTAATTTAGAAATTCGAAAAAGATTGTTAAAAGTGTATCTTTGGAGCACGGCGCTGTACGAGAGCAAAACATGGACGATGAGCGCGGCTGAAAAGAAAAGGTTAGAAGTTAAGGATGTGGGATGTTCTAGTTTTAGGAAATGCGAAGATTAGCTTAGGATAGGAAGGAGTAGAGGTGCGTGTCCAACCAGTCTTAGGACTGACGACCTTATGATGATGACAGTCATCCTAATTCAATGTTGACTTTTACTAGTAATAAATCTTAAAATCTGCAACTGGCATTAGTAACTGTCAGGACTGAAAGAAAAAAGGCACATACGCATTTTTCAAAGGTCAGTTGTACACATGCGTTCTTGTTGCTTACTACTAATTTTTGAAAAATGTGCATGCGCGAATTGTAGAACAATTAACTCATATTCCTAGAAAAATATTGTACAATAATAGGCTAGTGTAATAATTGTGATTTAGGTACTATCGTCAAGTAAAACACACTGAAACTCAAATAATGGCGTCCCCTGGGGTAAAGCACTCTGGACGTAAACTATTCGGATGTCCGGGAAGGGTCTACCTTGGAGGATGCCATGAAATGTAATAGGAAAAGGTACAATACTTCACGAGTCGGAGGGTGGAATGTTAGGACAATGCAGCAAGTTAAAAAAGAAGGAGTAATTGTTAGTAAAAGAAAACATGTTTTATAACAATTGGAGGGTTGGTCGCCATTACATGATAAATATTAGGATTTATTACAGATACTTATTAAAATAGGATTCACATTCATCATTATTCGTGTTTCATACAGTAAGATTGATATTTAGAGTAATGTGTAGGTTCAGGCAACACACTTTTCAAGGGTACTGCAGTATGCATGTCTCTATCCACAATATCTGATTAAGCAGCCGGCAACAGCAATAATGCTGTTAAAACATGTTATGTTGCAAAGGTAAAAATTATAGACAATCTCGACAAAACTCGCTAGGCTCATGTCGCCTTTTTCACTTTAAAACTTTTGTGTATTTCACACTTCATTTTCATTTCCACCAGCTACTAATGTTGGTGGGTGGTCAGTCCCTCTGGACTACGCCGGGCGACAGGGCGAAAGGCCCACTTCTGCCTCCTTTTAAAAATCGTAGGAACGGGTGGGTGGTGGTTGTGATGAGAAAGATTGACGAAATGAAGACAGACGATAGAGAAAGATTATCTGTGGAAAAAAGATCCAAGAAAACCGCAGAAAGAATTGAACTAGTGATCAGTGGGACCAGGAAATAATGATCCAAACCTCTAGGACATGTCGCTCGCTCCTTTCTTACCATAGCCTATGAAAGCCGTGTTAGTAAGAAATGAAAACACGAAATACAAGTAACGTTGTAACCACTGGATCTTCGATTGTGTCAGTAACGTCAATAAATCCAAATTGTCTAAATAATGTAGTCAGTCAAGACGGGCTGTGGGAGTAGTTAAGTCAGTCATGATCATGATGCACATGCCGGCAGTTAAGTTTAATTTGTGACAACCGTTGTTGTTAGCAGACACTTCCTAATTTTAAATATTTACACTTCGATTTAATCTCTCTTGCCAACAAAACCAGGAATACAAAAAAAAATACATTTATTGAATTCTAAAAAGTTAAAGGTACACTCTTAGCTTATACATCAATGATAATACTCTTATTAGAAGCATAGGTACATAAAAAATGTTTCTTTTTGGCTCCAATTTACCAATATTTTTCAAGAACCTCTACCAGATCGTTTGGATTTTTAGCAGAAGCAAATCTTTCTACAGGTTCTCCATCCTCATTAATTATGAATTTTGTGAAATTCCATTTAATCGCTTTCCCTCGCTCACCAGGTATTTTGTTTTGCAGAAATTTCCATAACGGATGAGCATCTTTTCCATTAACATTTATTTTTTCGAACATATCAAACTTAACGTTTTTTTTTTCGGCAAATTCACAAATTTTCTCAGAATTTCCAGGTTCCTGTTTTCCAAATTGATTGCATGGAAACGCCAAGATTTTAAGACCTTTCTCTTCACCATATTTTTCGTGAAGCTTTACTAATTGTTCGTAATTCCGTTTGGTGTAGCCACATTTTGAAGCTACGTTTACAATAATACAAACGTGACCCTTATATTTCTTCAAAGAAACTTCTTCGCCCGTTTTAAGATCTTTGGCAGTAAATTCGTAAATTGTTTCAGCTTCCTCCCAATTATCCATTTTTAAATTTTTTTTTGTAAAAGGTGTTATGCCTGCTAATCATATCAATAGGATAAACGCTACACTGTAAAGTTGTAAACGAAACCCACAGTAATCTATGACTTACAATCTTTGTAAAACGTAAACAACATTTGAATACATTTCAAATATAATCTGAATATCCACAAACCACAGAGTTCAAAAATCCCTCACAATAAGTTGTGGATTAAAATGTGTCTATGCTATCAGATTGTTCCTATTATGATAAACAAAAAAAATCGTTATGTAATTAACTGATTATTGATTAATTTAAACGCAGAAATTGTTTTTTGTAAATATTTTAAGTTTTAAGTCAAACTTGTATGTTAATTGGAAATTACTACATAACGTTAACCACTTGGCATAAAATTTTAAGCAATTTCGATTTTCAATACACCGAAAAACAGTTACAATAAAAACACTCAGTACTTAAGGAACAACATTGTTTCTAACATTATTTACTGTTAAAAATTAGCAACAACAAACCATAATATTCCATTTATTTTATAAATCAATAAAATACAACCACAAATTTCTTAATAAACTAATACATAAAAAAGCATGGAAGAATAAACATACAATAAGCAAAGCACAGTTTAAAATATCAATTCACCCTGCTTGAGATTGATCACCAATATTTTTCAAGGGCTTGTAACATTTGAAGTGGGCTTACGTTCGGGCCGAAACGTTCCACAGGCTGTCCATTTCTATCAACAACAAATTTGGTAAAATTCCATTTTATGAAATTTCCAAGAATGCCTCCCTGTTTTTCTTTTAAGTATTTCCATAATGGATGTGCGTTTGCTCCGTTAACGTCAATTTTCTCAAACAAATCAAATTTGACATTTTTTGAAGACGCAAACTGACAAATTTCATCAGATCCACCCGGCTCCTGATGGGCAAACTGATTGCATGGAAAGGCTAATATTTTTAACCCTTTGGATTCAGAAAATTTCTCATAGAGTTCGTTCAATTCCTTGTAATGATTTGCAGTGTAACCGCAACGGGATGCAACATTAACGATTATTAATACGTTTCCTCGATATTTTTCTAGAGAAACCGGTTCCCCTTTAATATTATTCACAACAAATTCGTACACAGACTGTGCATTTTTCCAGTTTTCACCTTCATTCGCCATTGTATTTAGTTTCACTACCGGACAAATAGATAATTTTGATGTTAGGTTAAGGAAAACAGATAAACTGTGATACAGCATTTCATGTTCTCGAGGTCTCGAGGTGCATATATATATCGGTACTGAACACCAGTTAATGCGAACCGTAAACCATCTGATTAGATATTTTTTTCAAGTTTAGAGGCAATAATTTGTTATACAACACGCGCAACAGCACCTCCTTTATCTTTTGAAGTCTAAAATCCAAATCCAAAGCAATTCATAAAGTTGGTATTTAATTTGAAGTTATAATTTATCTAATGGTAAGCATAAATGAGCAATACAAACGTTGGTAGATCAGAAATGTTCAGTCCAGTTCATATATTGCTTATTTAATATTTAACAGAGTAATGAAATAAAAACTGGGTATATTTCTGTACACTACTGAAATTGCTAAAGTACAAGTACCTACTGTACGTCTACTGTAGTTCATGCATTCTTGCGTGTATTTAAACAGCAATGCCTAGTATTGTATTTATCGTACATCGTTGATGCTAAACATATAATACCATATCATATATGTACAGATAAGTAGAAAGAAAGCGTTTATGTATGAAATAACTGAATACCTGCGTACATAAATAATTTTTTTGTTGTCTACTTTGAATTACACTGTAGGTACTTTTTGTAAATCAAAAGTAGTTTTTGTTGTTGATTGATAAGTCATACTTGATAAGTTCATAATGCCTACCTTCAGTAAACTTGCTTACTTCTACTGATGAAAATAGAAATTATTTCTCCTTGTTACCGCAAAATTAAAAGAGAATGAATTTATAAAATATTTATTCGTTTTGTAACACTAAAATGTTTTTTTGTACAGGTAGTACCTAGGTACCTGTAAGCAAATAATTTTCGGCGTAATTTAAGTCTTCAACGAAAAGTTTATCTACAATGGAGCACAGAAATACACCTTCTGTTGTTGTTACGTTTTACCAATACATTTCCAATTTCTTCTCCAACTCAAGAGGAGAAGTGTTTGGTCCATGTCGTTCAACTGGTATGCCGTTTCTGTCTATGATGAATTTAGTGAAATTCCATTTTATAAAGTCGCCAATCATACCCCCTTTCTTATGTTTTATAAATTTCCACAGTGGATGAGCATTTGAACCGTTAACATCAACTTTTTCAAACAAATCAAACTTGACGTTTTTTGACGACACAAACTGACATATTTGCTCACCGTCCCCGGGTTCTTGTCCTCCAAACTGATTACATGGAAAAGCCAAAATTTTCAATCCTTTACTTTCGGCGTATTTGTCGTACAGTTTATTTAATTCTTCATAATGATTTTTTGCATAACCACACTGGGAAGCCACATTAACAATTATACATACGTGACCCTTATATCTATCTAAGGAAACTGTTTCTCCATTAATTGTTTTCGCAGTGAAGTCGTAGATAGAAGATGCTTTCTTCCAATTTTCGCCTTCATTTGCCGACATGCTCGTAAATACTGCGGCAGTGGCCAGAGAACGCACGGGAAGGTTTAGCAAAATCGATAAACAATGACGAACCATTCTGTGTATTTAATGTCTTGCTCCTGTTTTGATAATCATGTTTCCGAGAAAAATTAGTAGATGACTAATCTAATTGCGTAATTACGTAAACACTTCAAGGTACGGTTGTTGAGATAGCTAAACTGTCAAAATCTTTGTTCATCTCTAATTGACTGATAAAGAATCTTGAAATACCATGAAACACTAATTTAATAATCGTTAAGCAACTGACAATGAAAGTGATCTATTTACTGTTTACTTGGGTATCTATTTTTAGGAATGCTGTGGGCCACCGCAACGACTTTATTATTAAACAAATGCGTACTTCTGTGTACAAGTGCTACATGCACTTCCAGGACCGTCTTTAACGTATTGAAGGCCCTGGAGGCACATAAATCTACCGGGGCCCCTACAGCTTTGACAGAGAATTATTTTGGTTTGTCATTTGTTTCTTTTCACATAAAAGAATAGATCATTGTAATATGACTCGAAAAAGTAACTAATATTCTCTGGTTGGTAATTAAAATTTGTTTTTTTTGAAAATGCACCCTTCTAATTTTTTAGATATTCAAAATTGTCGACCAGTTGTTCAAACTCTTTATCTTTGAGCATATCCCATTCTATGGACTGATCAATCTTGAAGCATTGTTCGTCTTAACTTATTTTTTATTCTTTTCCGTTTAAAGAAGGAGCGTTCGCCACTACAATTAGTTACCATCATGTTTAAAAAGATTCTCAATGCAATTTCTACATTTGCAAATGTGTCTCCAACTCGGTTTTTTATCAAAACTTCTGGAATACTATTAGTTTGCCAAATACAGACATTCTATTTCTAACTCTTTCTCGTTAACATCTTCATAGCAGCAAATTCTTTGCAACTTTGTCTCGGGATTTGGAGTTTTCAAGCGAAAAACAATGTCAACAATAACCAATGTCCTTGTACAAACTCAATCGCTGTTTTAGATGCACGATTAGGGTTTCACTTATGGGAAGTAAGGTATTTCTACTTTAATATCTCTTCCCAACTCAGTTGGACTATCGGTGCAGTCATAAAAAATAGAATAAAAATTCAGAATATATAAATGTTTGAAGAATCACCTACATTTAGGTGTGCTCGCATTTATAGCATGCAAAAACGATTATGCAAGTAAATATTCTAATAGCAATTATTGATTAATTTTCTTAAAATAATTATCGGCTTTTGGTTGGCGGATGGATCTGGCAGGAACTATATAGGGGGCTTCCGTTGATCGTGGATCTCTGGGCACTTGCCCAGAGTGCCCAATGGAAAAGGGGGGCCTGTGCACTTCCTTGCAGTTTAGAATGTATAAACGTTCAAGTGAAGTTAAATAAATAAACATAGATAACTCTAATATGCTGTATATTTTCAATGTTTTGAAGAATCGTCGACACCAGAATTTTTTTCACATCGTTCAGGCACCAAAATAATATTGACTACCACATTTTCGCAAGCACATAATAAGAATTGAATGAAAAACATAATCACCTAAACTACCTAGCTAAACAATATTTCTATAATTTTATTTATTTAAGGTTCAGAAATTTATACAGAATCCAATAATTGAGGGTAGAACATTTATGGAAAGTTTATGAAAACTCTTTCCGATTGGTACCTACCGCCACAAATCGCAAAGTACCTACCATTTTGCAATAAACATTGGTTCTGTTACTTTGTCTAATGTTAGATTATGTACTTTAGGGTAGGGCATGTTAGATTAGGTGCTTCGGGGTGCTTTTTTTATTCCCTTTCATAAGGGAGGCTCCAAATATTGTTACTAAAATAAGCCAAGGTCAACATCTTTGCGCGCTGTGAGTGGTACCAATCGAAAGGTGTTCGCCTGATCTATTATATTCGACCCGCCATTTACAAACTAACAGGTCCAAATCAGAAGATTCAAATTAAATTATATGTATTAGGTACCTGTTAATTACGTGTATATATTAAAAGTAACGTTTTCTGTGAAAAACATGTAAAAAATTCACAATTGCTGTGAAAAGAAACTATTTTGAATATAAGAAATAATCTGTTCTATTATCATAAATATATTTTTCTTACAGATCTGCCAATATTATCTACAATAAAACTAATACTTATCATGACATCGAAGGATACCGATTTAGAACCTACCTAAATTCGTTTACTTCGTCAGATGATGATTGTTATTGTACCGATGGGGCGAAAGATTTAGATGGAAACGATACATGCTTTTCTGATGGTTTACTTAATTTATATACTTGCCATGGTACGTCAGAAACAAATAGATTAATTTTGCATTAATCCATTAAGGTTTTCCGCCCGATGATTAGCTGAGCTTAAGCAACTTACATCTCCAACTATTTGTGAACAGTAATCTAATCTAGGCTTACCTCCCACCTCTTAACTTCTGTTTCTTCTTCTAATATGTCTAACTAGCCCTTCCTGTCTGAGAAAGTGTCCTTCTAACCTTTCTCTTATTCTTTTCTAGAACACCCTCTGTTGTACTCTTTGTAATACATTCTCATTTCTAACTAGTGTTGCAACGAACCTCTGCTTCTGCTTCCTCAATGACGGAAGTTCCGCATACATTTTCACATTTACTTCTGCATCTGGTTCCGCATTTTTATAACGGAAGCTTATTGGAACTTAACAATCTTATTTTTCATCTTTTTCAAAATCAATATATCGGAACAATAAAACAAGTCGTAAAAATTTCTTACTTTTATTTGTTGGCTGACTTCAGCGTCTACAGGGGTTTTAGTTTAGTTTAAAATCTATTTCCTAGTATTTTGGTATTTTCCAAATTTTATCCTCTTATTAGTTTCCTACTTTAATCTAAAAACGCCCAGGACTTTCAGCTTCCCCTTAGCTAGTTCTACTAATAATTTCGTTTCGAAAATACTAAAATACGGTTATAGCGTTTATTTATTTTATATAGTATTTGCTAAGTGGTGTAAATTTTAAGTTAAAAGTGCACTTTTGAAGCCAAAAAGAAGTTCCATTTGGGATTATTTTGTTGATTTAACGATGCAAGCGTTAAATGCAAAATTTGTAACAAAGTATTCGCAAAAAGGGTGCACGACTGCTGTATTAAAGAGTCACCAAAAATCATTACACTTCCGCTTCCGCAAATATTTACTATTTACTTCAGTTTCCGTTATGACACTTCCGTTGCATCGCTATGTCTAACCTTTTCCATTTTTAATATACTATAATATTACATCTCAAACGAACCTAAATTAGATAAGAAAAAGAAAGCGTGCATCACTTCAATTAATAATAATTATTATTAAGTATACTCCATAAACAAAATAATTATGAACTTATACATAATTGTAGCTGCTCCAATATTGCTATCTTACCCACACTTTCTTTGGTTGGAGGAATCTCTTTCTAAAACAGTTGAAGGTTTAAACGCATCGGAAGACAAGCATACAACTTACGTTGATATTGATCCTGTAAGTTTTTTTTTTTGAATAAATCGTTTAAAAATAGTTATCTTCAAGAATATGCTGTAATTTAGGCCTTTTTTGGATAAAGAACATACAGGGTGTTAGAATCGTAACAGCAGAATGACTGGTCATGAGTGGAAAACGTGTTCTATAGAGAAGCTGTTTAATTTCGCTCTGGTTATTTGGCTTTGATTTTGATAATGACGTTTAGTCATTGAATGGTCATGCCTATGTTTTTAAAGGAGTTTGCATATTTTCGACTTCGAAAATGAAAGAGCCGAAACAATTACAATCACTTATAACTTTGAACAACCCCATTTTGATCTCTGAAGATCACCTTCCTGAGGGTAAATTCATAAAACCACAGAAAAATGATAAGGAAGAAGTGGTCGCACTTCATCAAATGACTATTGTCTTTCCCTCAACCACTCATCATTAAAAGCGAAATTCGTTCTTGTTCTGCAAACATAAAAGTCAGGGGTCACTCAAGGTTATACCTTTTAAAAAAATAATCTTAACTTGAAGATTATGGTGAAGGTCAAAACCATATGGTTATCAGAGATCAGTCAGGGACGAATTGAGCACATGTTTCTCAAAAATGCACTCCTGGCCAATTATTCTGCTGCTTTGTAATTAATAATTGTATATCATCCGGTATATCGTTATATTAATACGTATCTTTAAAGTTATTGCTACTTTTTCGGTATTTATTGTACCCAGAAGGGAATGAAACTTATATCATTACAAAGGCCATAGATGTTGACGAAATTTAAAAAAATACGTTTTCTGTTATCATAAATGGATTTTCTAAAAGATAAAGTTGTCACAATTTCCATCATTTGCCTGATTTATCAGTTTAAGGAGTACATATTTATTTTGTGAAGTCATATTGTTTGTGTTTTATTTTGCATTAAAAATAAAAAATTGAAATATGCATATTTCACAATATTTAAAAATACATTTTGCAGTATTTGGGCATACCCTTACAGTCAAGTCAGAAAGTACAATTTAATTTAATTTTGAGACCTTACGTCTTTGGAAACGGGACCTTGGTATCACTTACTCAGAATTTATCTAGAGCTCTGACTCCGTTTTTGTGGATTGACGAGGTACGTAGAAAAATTAAAAAAACTGTGTTTGTTTATGTACGTGTACTGTAATATGACATATCTTTAAGGGAATGGCATTAACATCTGATATAACTGATGAGATGAGGTCAGAATTATATGACAGACTAAAACTCCTAAATATAGTGGAATGGGTGATAATAGCGTTAGGGATTGTCTTCATTATAGTGCCACCTGCAGCTTATGGAATTAAAAAACTCAGAACCTCAGACACGAAAGGGGCGATTAAAAAAAATTAACTCGTAAAATATTATTAATTTTTGCAATAATAAAGTGTTTTTATAAACTCGTTATTGTCATTTCCAAAAGTTACATTCATTTGGTAAGGTATGATTCACTACTTGGAATACAATACCATATTACAGGCCAAGAAAACTTAATTTTTTACTTTTTTGTTTTCATTTTTTCTACCATTTTAATTTCTCCTTATTTGTTCTGCGTTTATTTTTACCATCTGTTTTTCGTTTATTAATGTCTTTTTGTAATGTTCTTCTTTCCCCCTTTCGCCGATTTTTTTTCTGCATCCCAATATCATTCCTGCATCTACTAACAGTATAGTACAAACAAGAACTATGATTTTTTACTCTTTCCACTGGTATACTTATTTAAAAATATATTAATTTTATGTAAATTTCTAATGAACGGCTTACATCAAACACCTTTTCCATTAGTTTACCAAACGCTAGATAATAAAGGAATTTCTTGTCGACAAAACAATACAATACATTATCTGTGTAAAAAATACTTTATTGTCTTAAGGAAACCATTGATCAAAAAACAAAACTGAATTGCTACTGTTCTACTGTAAAAATAATAAATCCAAATAAGAAAAATTCCATGGTTTACATAAGCCTTTTCGATTAATAAAGGACGCATGAGATACCTGAAGCCAGAACTGTGCTTCTATAGTATGATAACCAAGTAAATCATTAGGAAAATAAGGAGAAAACTAATTGCATTTTCGATTTTGATAAAAATAAATCATGGAACTTTTCAAAAACTACGAAATTAATGATAAAATGTTTCTCTAATAAATAATGAAGGTAGGTAGTAGAAAATTAACAACTGAAATAAAATATTCACAACAACTCCTACTCATGATCTAACAAAGCATAAGGAACTTCTCTAAAATATAGATTTCTTTCGTTTATTTTTTTATTTCTTATTTCTCTGAGATTGTTTATTTAAGAATGATGGTTCTCATTATTGTTAGTTAAAAATATTTAGTTCTCGTGGAACCAGAATACTGTACCTATTTAATTTAGAACTCAATTCGATCTTAATACGGTAAAGTGTGTAGACAATCACAATTTGACGAAATAAATACTTATTACATATATTATATACCTTCAATTGTCACGAGAAGGCGGTGCTTGTGCCGAATCGTTACTATTAACTTACGTTTAACCTGTATAAAAATCACAGATTGAACAGTCAAATTATAAAATTTAATTTAATATGGCCTTTCTAAAGACCGCTTGCTATCTATAAGGAACGATTTTACGTGTTATTCTACAAAGATGTTCAATAGCTATTGGGTATAAAATGTTATTGTCTCTCTTCAGACCATGAAGTGACAATGTATTCCTTAAGGAAATCAGTCATCTTGGCTTCCCATAATTTCTTGAATGCTGACATAACTGCCTGTGAGAAAACCGATCAATCCAAATACAATCAAAAATCCATTTCTCCATAATCTCCAGTTGAATCTGCCAAGACCTGGTTCTTCATAGAATGTTACTAAATCGACTATTGCTGGGAATATAAGGCCAAGAGTAGAAAGGCACACAGCACCAACCAAGGAAATAAATCCTCCAAGGTTAGGAATTGCAACAGCAATGACTACTGTTCCACATATTATCGCAATTCGAACGGCATATTCAACTCTCAATTTTCTTGCACCAAAGTTTTGCTTCAAGTTTTTCCAGATTATTTCCATTGGCACGTAGAATTGTAAGCTGTAGGTAATAAAAATTGCAAGAGCAATCATAAGTTTCACGCTTTGAGCCAAACTGAAACAAAAAAAAAACATGTTAAAGAAAATGAATGTTGACTGGAAGCTTAGCAAATTTATTTTAAAGTAGAACTTCCTGAAGTCGAATATTTAATAAAGCTAACCAACTTATTTCATTTCTACTAACTGCACTTACAAAAATTGACAATAAAATATTAAAATACTCTTTTCTTGGAGATTCAAGTTCTATACAAGTTTTTATGTGTTTATTCAAATGATAAAAATAGTTTTAAAGGACAGGCCTTATGAACGGAGTGCAGTGCAACAAATTTTTAATGTAATTAGTGAGGATTTAAAGTACTAGTCGATATTTAATGGATCTTAAACAATAAAACGGATTGTAATAATACCAATAAATTTGATCTAAGTTGATTATCTTACATTTCATCTTGGGGAAGATTAAGACTTATGCTCCCTCTGGTTTCTTCGCCATATTTGAGATATCCAAAAAATCCGACAGAAGAATACAAAAGCACGACGAAAAACATTCCGGTATTTAGCACTCCAGGGCAACCGATGAAATGATCTGGAGTTTTCATGTTATTTTCCAAAGGCATAACGACACCAATTCCTTCCAACGCAAAAATTGCAGTTCCGAAGAACATAGGCCACTGATGGGCACTTACAACAATATTTCTACTGCTCACTGGAGGAAGATCAGCAAATATGTAATAGAAAGTAATTCCAATTCCACAACCAACCAATATGTTTGCCAACATAGAAAATGGTGCCAAATATTTCAAATTTCTAACTAGATTCAATAAAATCAAAAACGGTAAAAGTGCCACCATGTATAACCTCAAATCCATATGGCTTCCAGTGTAAAAGTCTACTACTTGCTTCAAATTTTCTGACACGAATACAATATATACGCAACAACATCCTAGTAAGTCGATGACAAGGAACAGATTAATCATTGCTTTTGCAAATCGAGACCATTGGTGCAAGCATTCTGGTCCAGCAAGGAAGGCTGCTTCAGCAACCTCAGCGAAGCCTAATGAGGGAATTCTACTTCTTCGACAGAGCGTATGAGCGCTTCTCACCAAGATGTGGATACAAAATGTGCAAATGGCTCCTACAGCTAATGTGGCAAACAACCCAAATCCCAGACCAGCGTGGGCAAAAGCGAGAGGCATGGCCAGAATACCACTCCCCAAACTGCCCTTCAAGAGATGAATAAGTGTATCCAAATCCCTGCAAGAAATACAAAAAACAATCAACTTTTGTTATAATATTCCACAAACAGAAAATAATGGTTTTACAGACTAATATTGTTGTAATACATATAATAATTCTCAGAATTACATGTGCTATAGAAGCGAATTTTGTTTAATTCATGAAATAAGCATCGGACTCACCCATTTAATGCATTACATAATAGGTAATGAATCGAATACTGGAAAATAAACTAAGGTAACCTAGTCCAACTCTGATTGGTTTATTAAGGAAGGGAAAGTACGAAAAGGTGGCTTGGCGCAAGTTTGACCAGGTTAGGTTTGGTTAGGTTAGGTTAGGTTAGGTTAGCTAAGATTGCGCTGGATTGACTTGGGTTGGTTAATATTGGTTAATATTACTTGCTTTGAAGGTCTTGTCAGTCTTCTAAAAGCATACTTATCTGACTTATTTATAGACAGAAAGTACATGAAATAAATATTTCTTTCTTCAGAACGTATGAAATCGGCAAATTTTGGCTAACATAGTTAAGATTAGATTAGATTAAGGTTCGGTTAGATTTCCTTAGTTTTTTTTTCCGATATTCGATTAATTACTTATTACATGAAGTCTGATGCTTATTTCATGAATTAGGCAAAATTTTGCAGTCCAGTAATTACATGCTGTTGGCTTAACAAATTTACGATTCTCATGTAGGTAGATCTTTAACAACTATCTATTCCAAATTTATTAACTAAAACTTGTTTGTGATGATGGTAAAAATTAGTAAGGAAGCAAAATAGCCATAAAATACCTATTAAAAATCCAAACAAAACCGATAATCTTCAATCAATTCAAAATCATCGAAAATCACGCTCTCTTAAAAATATTAAAAAAAGTATTTTTCACTTCATTTATTCTTCATACTTATCAGCTACTTTGTTTCACTATTAAATTTAACAACTTCTTCAAATCAAATTTATCAAATGTATCTCCTACAATCAGTTATTCACTATTCTTTATGCAAAACTAATTTTTTCAGACTGTAACCCCCAAAAACCCCTTAGAGCTTCTTAAGTACGAAATTTTTTTAGACTCTTCTTAAAGGGGCGCTTTGATAGGTGGCGCATTCGTACTTTTAAGACTTATTAAAAATTTGTCATATTGGATATACTCTGCAATAACTGATGTAATACCGTTAAGTGTATTTTTTTAAGTCACTTCTATGTGCGCGGCGCTGTAGGGGTGCGAAAAATGGACGGTGGGCACGGCGATAAAGAATAAGCTCGAAGCGTTCGAAGGCGAATGAGGGAGATGCCGTGGATAAAGAAGGCTAGAAATGAAGAGGTATTAGAGAGCATAGGAGAATAGAGGACTCAATGGAAGTCAATGAGAACAGAGGACTCAATGGAAGTCAATAAGACATAGGCGAGATAAGTTCGTAGGACGCCTTCTCAGGCACGAAGAGCCAGTCAAAGACATATTAGAGGCAGAAAAAGGAATTATGAGTAGTAGATTAGATTATTGTTCACAAGCAGTTAAGGATGTGGGTTGTTCTAGTTTTAGCTCAGGATAGCAAAAAGTGGAGGTAAGTGTCCAACCAGTTTTAGGACTGACGACTTTATGATGATGATGATGATGATGATGATGAAGTGCATTTCGGATTTGTTATGTCTTCGTGTACTATTTGTATTATTATATATGTAAATCCCAATGTCATCCCGTGAACTACCTAAACCAATTGCTTTATTTAACTTTAATCAATTCAGTCATTTAGTAAATAATAGGACTGTGTGCTATATGTATATGTTTATAACTCACTTCCCAACAATTGAAGTAAGGTTATATAAAATTAGTTTTGACCCCGATTGTTATGCAAATTAATAATAGTGCAGACCGACGACAGCTTGTTTGCAGTCACAAATAGAATAATAAACGCATAGAAGTATGTTAATGCTTAAATATGCTGTGGATTACATGTTTAGACATAAAAGTACGTAATATTGCCTGATATATACGTATCTATCTTTGATATTATTCATCATCATCATAAGGTCGTCAGTCCTAAGACGGGTTGGATACGCACCTCCACTCTTTCCTATCCAGAGCTAATCTTCGCATTTTCCTAAAACTGGAACATCCCATATCCTTAACTATTTGCGAACAGTAATCTAATCTAAGTCTACCTTTACTCCTCTTAACTCTCGTTTCTGTCTCTAATATGTCTCTGACTAGACCTTCATGCCTTAGGTGTCCTACCAACCTATCTCGCCTATTTTTTATTGACTTACATAGAGTCGTCTGTTCTCCTATTCTTTCTAATATCTCTTCATTTCTAATCTTTTCTATTCACGGTATCCCCATCATTCGCCTGTAACACCACATTTCGAACGCTTCTAACCTTTTCTTTTCCGCCGCGCCCACTGTCCATGTTTCGCACTCGTACAACGCCGTGCTCCAAACATACACCTTTAACAACCTTTTTCAAATTTCCAAGTTAACCGTCCGCGAACATTGAAGTGACTTCTTTTTATTAAAGGCGACACGACCCTGCGCTATCCTCTGCTTTATATCCCTACTACTCCTTTCGTCCTGACTTATCTAACTTCCTAGATATCTAAAATCAGCCACTTCTTCTAATTTTTCGTCTCCTATCTTTATATTCACCCTTTCTCTACTTTTTCTTCCCTTGCATACTAGTATTTTAGTTTTACTTTTATTTATTTTCATACAGTACTGATCTGTTATACCGCTTCCATTTTATTTAAAGCTATCTCTAACTCCTCCTTGCTAGATGCTAATACTTCTATATCATCTGCAAATCTAAGCATACTAATCTTCTGCCCCTGTAAATCTATCCCTACAGTTGTATTGTCTTTAGTGATGTTAATCGCGTCTTCGATGTATATATTAATAAGTAGCGGTGACAGTGTGCACCCCTGTCTGACTCCCTTCCTAATTTTTACTTCTCTACGTTGCAGCCCCAGTTCTATAACTGCCTGTTGCTCTTTATACAAACTAAGTATCACTCTTCTATCTTTGCAACTTATCCCTACATTTTTAAGTATATTGTCCCATTTAACATTAAATTAAATCACTTTGTTTCCATTATATTTGTACCAAACTTGTGAAACAGGTGTTTGGTACAAACATAATCATAATTTATTATTTTAAATATTGCATAAGGAAATATCTCTGTTGTCTCTTGTCTTTACTGGCAGGAAAATGATTGTTTCTGCCTTCGTTAGTTATATTGAGCTCGTCTCCTCCCTTTACCAGTCGGGAAATAATCGATTTTTGCATTTACTGGTGGAAACCTTCATGACTAAGAATAAATAGAGGCTAAAAACCTATCTCCTTACATGATCGCCATAGGTCTTGGATGTCCTGTTTGTCTTTAATGTGTCCTTAAACCCATTTTTTTAAACCCATTTAAAATTTCACGTTGTTAAAAAATCGCGGGTTAAGGTAGTTGTTCCATGAAAAGCGTTTTCTTAGGATTCTTTTGAAATTTTGACAGAATATTATTTAAGTTATTCTTCACCTATATGTGCAGACTGAAATTATTGGACAATATAGTTTCAGAGATATTTAATTTCAAAGTTCGCGTTTTTGCGGCTCTTATACATTGTACTATACAGGATACCGGCGAGGCTAACTAGAAATACAATGTTAACTTGGAATCCCTTCTTACAAATGTTTTAAAAAACTACAGAAAGATTAAACAATGTCTAATAACTTCTTTGAAAAAAGTTTGATTAATTATTACAACACAGTTTCTGAGATATTAATTAATAAATAACGAACAATTTATCGCACTCAAGTAGTAGAAGGGATACACGAATGAAGAGCGGTACGGGATTGGCTGGGAATAGTGCAGTAACACCAAAAAGTTTTAGGCTTGGGTATCACGGCTACTAATTGACTGTACGATACACTCTAGCATAAACTTTTTACTAGTAATGTCGTGAAACAACTTCCTTAAAAATGTTGATTTTTCATTCGAAAAGTTGACCTTAACATGACTTTTGAAATCATGGTCAAGGTTGACGTCGTCATCACATTCGTTTTTTTTTTAATTCAACAACTTTTGTAGAGGTCATTTCCCTTTGAAACTATAATTTATTGGATGTACCGCACCAAATACTGTTTTGATCTTTAAACGAGCCCTAGAAGTCATGTGGATCTAGTAGTTCGTGGATACATATGTGAACGTAAAATTTTTGTGCTCTTCAAGAATCAAGAAATATTCGTTTCCGTTTGAAAATTTTAAGTTGACTAAGATAATCTTCAAGGTTATGATGAAGTTCAGGTTAGGGTCACCGGTACAATCTTCTTTTAAAATCTAACCACCTAAAACTCATTTTTCAATTCCTAGCCTTCGCTTTTACAAAACCGACCATCCCGGTACTTTTTTGGAACACTGTATTTCACATTCACAACCAGATGATTTTTAAATTTTAATAAAAACATGTTATACTTCATTTAGTTTCTCTAGCGATGTGACCTTTAGTTTGACCGGCGCAAAGTAGAAAAAAATAGCACTAGGCCAGAAAAGAAAGGAGACAACTCTCGGTCAAACTCTTAACCGGCGAGGAGCGTATAATCCGTACAGTACTGCACGGAAAAATTGACCATTTTATCCACCAAAATTGCATTGCTCAAATGTGCTGTTATTGGTACTATGTAATTACTACTGAAAATATCAACGAGATGTTTATTTATATTTGAAGACATAATAAAGACTTTAACGCTTGTTTTCGACTCGCACTACTATTCATGATTGAATAAAACTTTTGGCAGGTACTGTATGAAAAAGTATGTTTAATGAACAAGAGATAAGAGTATAATGAGCTTTTTTCTCCGTATCTACGATTTTGCCAGCGCGCATCCAAGACATTGGAAGGGGAATATCGCTAGAGGAAGTAAACGAAGTATACCTAGTGCGTTTTTACCCCTTATTATTCCTCCCCCCCGGCCCTTCTTTAACTCATAAATAAGTCAGAAAAAGGTAATTGTTGAAATCATTAAGGAAATTATTGTATTTGAAAAGTAAATAACGTAATTAAAGATCAGACCACTATCCATTCCGATTAACTATAGCACTTTTTGGATTCTAAACCTTATTTTTAAATTTATTCTAATCTAGCTTGATACTACCTACCTATAAACGATTAGGAACAAAATTTCAATGTGAAAAACCTTGACATTTAATAGGAATTAATATCAAATACTAATGTGAAAATTGATTTTAATTTTTTCCCACTATAAACTACCTCAGGTTAATGAAGAAAAATTTGTTGCCGGGATTCGAACCCCTTTACGCACCAATGCTCTAGCTTATTGGTTACAGCACCAATGCCAAAGATCCCGGGTTCGATTCCCGGCGAAGGTGTGACAACAGCAACAAATTTTTCCTCATCAACATGAGGTAGTTTATAGTGGGAAAAATTTAAAATCAATTTTTACATTAAAATTTCAATGTTTTCAAATGCGAATTTAATTCTCTAATTCCTAGTTTTTTTCGTTAACAAAGATAGCGCCGTTTTCTTGTTTAAATTTACAATTTGCACATTGACTTCGATATTAATAAACTTACGAAGTTGGATGGTCCAATTTCCGGTGCTGGAACGGATCGTATTCTCCGAGCTCCTCATCCTTGGGCGGATTAGCAACCAGGGGTACAGTGGAGCCATTAGCTAACGTTACCGTCGATACAGGGACTTCGTTCTTTTCGCACTTATAACTGAAAATCGAAATTATATTAGACGATGACCTTAAAAAACCAACAAAAAATTTAAATTAAATTAGTGTGAATGATGAAGAAAAGCGCAGCAGAACTCGCGTTTCACTGGTCGATGCCATCCATTTGGGTACACGTGAACTGCACCGAAGATGAAAATAATTTAATATTTACATCAATTCTACTGATTCACTTTCATAAAATAAAAACGTAAGCAAAACTACAACAAAATTTTAGATAACTTTGTGACGATTTTTAGTAATGTAATGCAGTATGAACATGTCACTGTCTGTAATGTTTTGCGTACATTTTTATTTAGTCACTAAATTGGATCCACTTTTTATGATTAAGCCGTTGCCTTAGTTTGTCCCGCTTTGGTAAACTAAAACATAAGTTTAATTTCTTACAGTCGAAATGTGATTTTATGTTACTTATTTGTAATTATTGCAGTGCTATTAATACTAATTAATCTCATTTCGTCTGTAAAGAAAAATTAACATCAATTGTAAACAAATTCTTGGTCTGCTGTCAAAAAATAATGAAAAATAAACAAGTACCACTTAACGTAATAAAAGAAAATTACATTTTTTTACGTTTCATTCTCAATTTTACTGTACTGCCTACGATTAGCGTTCAAATAGCGCATATACTTTATTAGTCGGTACCTATTTATTTTTCATTAGTTTATTACTGTTTGCTGAAACAAATTAAGTATGCATTTCACATCAAAACGTACTTTTGCTATTTAATGAAGCACACGTTATTTTACTTCAAAAAGTAAAGCGAGATATTATTTTGAAAGACTTCATAACCAGCAATTCTATTAACAAAAGTAATATTTATTTTAAGTAGCCTGGATGTGAAAATACGTTACTACATCACATTAATTTTAAATTATCGCTTTATTTAGCCAAATGAAAACGAATATATTTAAAAACCGACTTATTCGTTCAGTTTGCTTATTAATGCTAAATTTTAATTGATGGTTCATTGCTTTTAAAGCCTTTAGAAAAAGTGCATATATTATCAATTTGATATTCGCTTTCTTTTAAACTAAAACAAGTGAAAAGATGAAACAGAATAGAATTTCCAATATCCACATCTTCTAAGGTAGGTATCGTCGTTATTTTCCAAATTCTACTTTGTTTATGTTAAAAAATAGATGTGGAGATTGAATTCTCCAATCTGGTTGACTGATTTTAGCCGGTTAATGTTTAATAATGTCATACACCACACCAAAAAATTTTAACCAAAATTACTGTATGTAATTATTGACAATTTTGTGTATGAGATTATGAAACATTATCAGTTATATTATACAACTCCTTCATTGCAACTGATACAAAAAAATCTTGCAAAACTATAAAGTAGATAAATAATGTAAATGAAATGAATTAATACAGCGTTAATTTTGGTGTCAGTCACAACAAAACAGAAGATGATAGATACAATTAAAGGTATAAAACTAAAAATTAAAAAAAAAAAAACTATATTCGTAGCGACAGGTTCGACCAGTGGAAACGAGTTCCGCTTAAAAAAAGAGAACTGATTAAATATTATACTTTGATGAAAGTTTTGACAGTCTTAAATTAACAGTTTATACTTTAAAAACAAGTTAAGGTAACTCTTGACGTACTTTTTCGAATAAAACGGGCCATGAAAATTAAAATGTACCGTTGAAGGTCCTTGTTAATCATCATCCGCAGCATCTCAGCACTTGCAGCGCAACTGTCTTGAAGCGCAACTCATTGGGAGCGCTACAGGTTGCGACACAGCACTTGCGGTAGCTTCGGTAAATGCCAATAAGCTTATGGAAGACTTATAAAATGTAGTCAACACAACACTATTCATCACCCATGTACAAATGTCTACTCGGCCGACAAAATTTACAATTTTCTCTAACAACCATGATCGCACATCTGCAGTTTCCTTCAACTACTGAGATTCCAAAGCCACAAACGTGGCATATGCAATGGAAGACTGTATCCCCTTAAGGTGTAAGTCAATTGTGATTATATATTACTACGATACAGTAGCGTACCCGAATTACAAAAGTACAATAGTTGTTTTCTGAGAATAGATTCGATTTCCCGAATTTAATTTATTTAGTATGTCTGGCACGCTACTGAACTGCAAATTCGTTTCAGATAGAAAATTTCCTTCTACAAATGTCGCTCGAATGCCTGGTGAATCCCGGTATGTGAAGGCTACTGCATTTTGTTGTTTTACATTGTGATCCAGCACTTTACAACAATATCAAAAGTACTCAAATGCTGGATCACAATTTATATTAAATGTGCTTCATTTGATAATTGAAAAAATAAACGCAAAACGCCTTACAAGAAATACATTATGCGCTATCCTAAAAAACAGTGTCCCACCAAAGTTTAAACTTCGGCCACCTTCAATCGCAGATTTTCGTTTCGATGAAGATTTGAACGAAATCAGAGAAGAACGACGTATACGGAAGAACAATCCCGAACTTAAAGCAGAATTTTCAAATAAACCGGAATAGTAAAGTCAATATCAAATCAATAATTTCGAAATATATCAATTTCGTAAGGATTATCTTCTATATACAACTTTCTTTTCTGCCGAAACCCAAGAACATATGATGCTACTTTCCTTTCGAAGATTCTAAGAGTTATTGAAATCGACAAACATTTAAATTTTCTGTATGGTCTTAAAACTCAGCATGAATATAACAAAAGAAATAACAAGTTGAATTCTGATAGATATTTAAAATAAAATACAATATCGATTTCTTAGTTTATTGATTATAGTTCAAATCTCAGTAAATCTTTGGTTTCGGTTTCGATCAAAGCTAATAACGAGGAAGCCGAAGTTTAACAACGGTTTACGTCATACTGAGCGTCACCATCAGTTCGACACTTCTTCCAAAAGACCTTCGAAATTAGCTGTTGAATAGTCGTATAAAACTGACTCACAGAAAAGTGTAAAAGTACTATTAAAGGGTACTAATACTGAGAAGCTTATTTGAAGAACTTTTGCGTCTTTTCATAACGTCTGGTAAGATGTAAAAATTTCGTGTCCACACTAAATTAACCTTAAATTACTATTGTGTTATGAAAAGCGGCACTTATTGACATAAAAAAGCGGAAAAACTTGCAAGACGTTTTTTTTTATTTTTATTCAATGATTATACTGAAGACTTTATTTTAAAAAACATTTGTTTGTTTTAAGAGAGCTGCCCATCTAATTTTGTTCTAAAATTGCAAAAAAACTGTTAATATATCAGTGATTCAAAAAGTGGGAGATGCGAAAAAGTCAGAGAAATGATCCCTTTTCAACATTTCTTTATTTTCCTACCATGAAGAAAAATTCTAACGGGGTGGGGGGGCATTGCGCCCATAGTATTTTCTCCTTTTACTCACAATAAATTATTTTAAATTTGTACTTGTTAAGGTATATTTAATGTTTACAGAAAAAATACTTTAGATTAAAACAAATAAACAATAAACGGGTTATGAAAACATCATAAGCACCCTCTGAAACAAGTTTTATTTTCTTTTTTAACTTTTACACATTCTAAAACTAAATTTTCGATATTATCAGCTCTAGCAGCTTTTGGATCACAGATAACAGCAGAGCGGAATCTATATGGGGTTTTTTAGCTACAGCCTAGCCCCCCAGCTCCCATTGGAGACAATGGATAATATATTGTGAATTTGTAAATAAAAAAAATAAATGATCTAAATGCTTTATACTTCATATAATAGAACTACAAACAATTGACTAAATTTTTTTTTCCTATCGAAGTTTCTTAAATATGAGAAAGGGTTGGAACCAAGAACTTTAGGAATCACCGATATATGTGTATATATAATTTTATTGAATTTTGTTTTAAAGTAATGCAAGTTAACAATGCTTTATATTACAAGACTATAAAATTTAATTGTAAATCTGTTGCATTCAATTCCCCTTTGTATGTTTTTATATGTATTTGTTTCAATATTTAGGCGTACAATAAAAAATTACTGAGTATCTATTGAAATGATAATGCGTTACAAAAATGGACAGCATTGTTGCAAACAATTTTAAATTTATCCAGAGGAAGTACTTAAAAAATGCATGGTGACCACAGACTTTTCTAAATTAAATTCCCTGACTTTTCCAGGTTTTCCAGACATCTAATTTTAAAATTCCCTGACTAAGTTTAAGTTAGAAATATTCAATTATATGTAAGTATGGTTAACTGTATCTAAAGAATATTACTTCAAAAACGGGCAACAAGTAAGAAATTTTCATGCACATTTTTGTTTTATTTGCAATATTTATTAAATAAATATGAAGCAGTAGTTTTTAGTTTTAAAAACTAGACAACATGTGTAATATATAAATACTCTTTTATTTATCTTATTTACTCTCCAATTTTTCGATTTCATCATCTATTGATAAGATATCTCTACGTCTAGTTTCGATTAGAGCTTTCTTTTTATCCAAAAGATTTTTCAGTTTCTGTTTCTTCATATATTTATGCTTAGCATCAAGGTCATCTAATTATTTATATTTATTANAGTGAATCTTCCTAAAGTTTTTCAGTTAAGCAGTTTTGTTGAATAAAAATAATTTTGATTTGTGAAGCCATAATATTATTTAACCTCAAACAATTAAGATTTTAATGTTGCTAAATAAACATAATTTAAAAAAATTAATTTTTCCATGAATTGGGAGAAATCCTCTGACTTTTCCAGTAAATTGGAAATTCCCTTACATTTCCAGGTTTTCCAGTTTTGTGGCCACCATGAAATGTATTGCAAAATAATAAGACTAAATATTCATAAATCAAGGTAGATGATTAAGCTAATCGAATGGAATTAGTAACCGTTGGGCCCCATATAAGATCATTTAATAATAATCGTAATTTTTTTTACCGATCATGGTTTTTCTGTTTCGTACATAAAAGTACGTTTTATTAATGAAACACTAGCAAGTATTTAAGCGATTATGCTAAACATTTGTTTATCATCAATGTAGCAATTTTGACGTAGCAGTTGTACATGGTAACAAGTTAAATAAAATTAATGATACGATAGACCAATCATCCGTACGAATCTATTGATTTGCATCAACGGGACTCTTGAAGCAGGTTAGTTGAAAAAATTAAGGAGTACTACAAGGATTCTTGAAAGATAATATTATGGACACTAATGTGGAGATTAAGATGATCCAGTAAAATATCGGATTTTTAGTACTTACTTGGCCATTATTATATCTGTTTTAACACCTCCATTTTTCTGGTCGTAAGTAGTTATAAGTTGGGGTTGTTTCTGCAAAAAAAATACACATTGAAATACTACTACCCAGGTTATCAAAATTGAAAATAACTTTTTGTGGCGAGTTTAAATAATATGCTATAATATATATATGTGTAGGTAGAATTTTAGTTAGTTACAAGTGGTGCTCACAATATACATATTTTTAATGGAACACCCTATATATTTTCAGATATTTGAAATTTCCTCTTTTTCTGATTTCTAAAATGTGTAATTGTTTCATATTCAGAATAATCGAGAAACTAAATCGATGTTAAATCATATACGACTCATGTGTGAACAGTAGGCCTTGAAAAAGTATTTAAAAAACCTGATCGTCAACTAAAACAATTATTAATACTGATAATTATTAAGTACGTTCCATTGCAAAAAAACTTATTATTAAGTTTATTGCCTTAATGCCGTAGCATTTCTATTATAGTCCAAATATGTACTAGGTATATGTATAATATAAATTTTCCATCCAAGAATTTTGCTTCTGTATTACCATCAAAACCGTAATCAATTGTTTACATGAAATATTTGAACAATTTCGTTCAAATGTCTTTCCAACTGCAAAGCCTATCACTTCCACATAAGGAAGTTACGGCATAATTTAACATCTACTTTATTTTTTCCATTATGACTAGTTCTTCCCCCCTATAAGTTACTGTGAGCTCGAAACTGTTAGCACCATTGCTTCGAGTGTTCGAAATTCACTTTTGTGAACAATGTATTTAATCACTTTCTTCGTGTTAAAAATTGTTTGAAAAACGTTTTGATTCTTTATTATGTTTATATTCATGCGTTTTAAAGCATTGGCATCAGTGACAGCAATAGTTAGAGAGCAAGAGTTGGATTTTTCCCTGTGCTGAAAGCACTCAATTATTTTTATATATATAATTAAAAAAAGATTTTAGTTCTACGTTTATTCGTATTGTCAATAGTCGGTCATTTTTATTTCTCCACCATGACGTAGTGTCGGCCATCATTCTTTTCTAATTGTTGGTGTTGTCGGCCATCATTCTTTTTCAATTGTTGTTGTATTGTTACTGATGTCGGCCATTATGTTTTTTTACTAGATGTATAGTAATCAACAGTTGAAATTTATAGGAATTGCTTGTAAATAGGTATGCAACACATCGTACACTTCAGAATAAGAAATTGCTGGTAGTAACTTTCATTTACGTAATACTACTTTGCTCTGTGCTGGCAGCACTCATAATTTCTTTTATATATAATATTTATCTGAACATATGGTAATTACACATTTTCGACATCAGAAGAAAGAGGAACTTCAAATATCGGGAAATATATACGGTTTTCGTTAAAAAAATATACATATATTTATATGGAACACCCTCTGTATACTAACAGTTTTATGAAAACTCTGGTAGCACATTTGAAATAACTACACATGATGATAAAACGAGGTATTCTTTTGTATCAAATAAGAAAATTCACTCTGTAGATAACTGTTTTGAATATGTGTACTGTTTATTTCATTTCGCTTGTAATGCAATTTATAGTTAATAAAATAATAATTGGGAATGTTTTTGTTATTATCCTACTTGTCAGTAGTCGTACCCGACGTGACCTTAATTTATAAGCTGTTTTAAAAATAGATCAGCAAAAAATTTTGTAATAGGCTATTACATGTGGAATTTGTCTGTAGGTACACAATAAATTAAAATATTTAAATTACTTCTAAATTGAATTCTTGAACGATTTAAATAATACATCTAAAAAAATTCACGTTAAGCTATGTAATATTTTGGACTTTTGGTCAATTACTGCTGCTACAAAGTTGTACTCAAATAATTACACCCGGTTTGGATTCGGTACCCGGTGAATCCCATACTTTAGCATGTGGTCCGATATGGGATAATGACGCCGGGTCAGTCTATGGTAAATTTATCAAAGAAAAAAACCAACAGCAGCACTAATAATTTAATAAGAATAACAAAAAATTCACTAATGAATATTGATAATTAAGATTTTATTGGTATAAACCATTTGCCCTATTTTGTAATTTGATTGTTTATTTATTAAGCCATTTTCACTACATGAAAATTCAATTGATTACCATATTAAATTATTTGTTATTTCGATATAGTTCTTGTGTTTTGTTGTTCTCGTAATGAAGAATAGGCACATCAGTGTGACTAAAACGTTACAATTTCTGTTACCTCTTGGTATATCAGGCTTTGATTAACGATAACTTATTCTTGGTATAATTTTGTCACCTTGCAGATTTTTAGTATTTATAAACATTATTGGCTCGTTTTAAAGATTTCAATTCAATCCCCTCGTTGAAAATCCGTCTACCAACAGTTAAGATTTCATTAGTTTTCGTATTTAAACGACTTTATGAACGGGACACACGGTTATCCAGTATCCGGAAAAATCACTATAACTACTCCCCCCTATATGTTTCACGTAGTCAGTAAAGATTGTGTTCTAACGAAAGCAAAAGCAAAATCTAAAATATTTAAGCAATATTATACTTACACATATGCTACTCGAAAGCGTAACTTTCTAAATATGAACGTACTTCTGCACATGATAACGTATCAGTTAATTATAAAAAAGAAAAACAAAATGGGTTGAGGCCATTACTTATTTTCATAATTAGTTCGTACTAAGTAGTAAACTTCGCAGTTTCGTTAACAGAGAATACAAATTTCGGTTTAACAAAATTATTTATAACTACTTTCACAATAGCTACAATAGCTAATTAGGTGATTACTGATTACTTTTGTGATATTAATCCGAACAGTTTCAGCACACAGCGACGTGACCCAGCTCTTTTATTCGCATGGGCTAAAGATGGGACACACACAATCGCAAAAGTACCCAATTTACATATTTTTGCATCATTAAATACGAACATACGAACGCCGCATAATTTTGCATTAAGCAAAGCATCTTGTGTTATAGAAAATACTACAAATGGCGCAGTAAACGCCATCTGTAGCACGATGCTACATTTTAGGATTACGTATGCTCCAACAAGGTCCACTTGTGTGGATATCTACTTGCTGAAAACGAATTCTGGCGTAGCCAACCTCAACGTGATAGGCACGTTAGCTTAATCGAATAAAATAATTCGAAGTGGTCTGTATTCTGTGGAAACTGCCAGACGCGGATCGCGATTTAGATCTTTTTGGATCTCATTAGCGCGTCGCAGGTAGCAGAACACAGACCAACTTTTACCTGCTGTCTTGACAGAATACAGACCACTTCGAATTATTTTATTCGATTATGGTAACGTGCCTATCACGTTGAGGTTAGCTACGCCGGGATTCGTTTTCAGCAAGTAGATATCCACACAAGTGGACCTTGTTGGAGCATACGTAATCCTAAAATATAGCATCGTGCTACAGATGGCGTTTACTGCGTCATTTGTGGTATTTTCTAAAACGCGCTGTTAAGACAGCAGGTAAAAGTTGGTCTGTGTTCTGTCGGAGCTGTCTGCGACGCGCTGATGAGATCCAAAAAGATCGAAATCGCGATCCGCATCTGGCAGTTTCGACAGAATACAGACCACTTCGAATTATTTTATTCGATTATGGTAACGTGCCTATCACGTTGAGGTTAGCTACGCCGGGATTCGTTTTCAGCAAGTAGATATCCACACAAGTGGACCTTGTTGGAGCATACGTAATCCTAAAATATAGCATCGTGCTACAGATGGCGTTTACTGCGTCATTTGTGGTATTTTCTAAAACGCGCTGTTAAGACAGCAGGTAAAAGTTGGTCTGTGTTCTGTCGGAGCTGTCTGCGACGCGCTGATGAGATCCAAAAAGATCGAAATCGCGATCCGCGTCTGGCAGTTTCGACAGAATACAGACCACTTCGAATTATTTCATCTTGTGTTATGTTTATAATTATAAATTATTATCAGTTTCATCGATGATTCTATTGCACAAAAACTGCACAATGAATTGCAAGTTGGCAAAAGATATATCACATTAAAAATAATTAATATCGAGATAAAACTTCGAATAACAAATGATAATAGGTAGACACAGTCGTAAGTGTATCTCGTACCATGTTTTTAGTTCCGTGTATTGTGGTGGGTATTGTTTAATGAATTAATCAAATCTACGTTGTGGGAAGAAGGGGATTATTATCTTTTGAAATCGATTTCTGCTACCAATAAATATAAAATACCAGAAAGCTTTTTTTAGTTTAACAAAGAACGATTATTATCTTTTGAAATCGATTCCTGCTACCAATAAATATAAAATACCAGAACGCCTTTTTTAATTAAACAAAGCATGAATATTAATCTTTCAATGGCAAATACCTTTTTACATAATTACGTGTATTTTTTTAACCAGTTTGTCACGTGCTACAAAAATTAGCATTTAAATAGCACAGATTGTTTTTTTAACAAAAAAGATTTAATATTTTAGATAAATGTACTCATTATCGTTTAATTTTAAACCAGAATTGTTTACTTAAGGTTAATTTTAAATTTAATGTTTTTGATTTACTGTGGTGATAAAGTATAAAAAAAATATTAATTCAAGAAAAACTAACTCAAATATTGTAATAATAAAATAAAGAATAAGCCCAATAACTGGTTATTTATTATCTAATGATAATGAACAAAAAAAATGTTAAATAACCGTAATAAAACTGACGGCGCGGCATCACTAATTTTATTATCACACATATATTATGTTGACTTGGCAATACAAAAAAATGCTTTAAAATTCTTTCAGAATTTGTTTCGTTTTTCAATTCTTTTATTGAAAACAATTAAATCTCTATAATTTTAACAAATCAAATGCAACTAATTATGAAAATTGGAGTTAAGAAAAATCTTTAGGGGGAAAAATTTTCAATAGATGCATGTGTAGATTTCATGTGTTTTGTTGCTATGTTTTTAAACTTTGTAACGCCCATGTTTATTACAGAAATAGAAGAAATACAGGGTGTATAGAATGGGTAAGGGGTGTTTGTAAATTCGATAAAAAAACTACACTTTCTGTTTAGTGACGAAG